GATTCCTGGGGCTGACTCTCTTGCCCGCACGTCTTTGGCCTGGGCGCGTTACGTACAAGATCCTCTTCATGCTATTTGCGTTCTTTTTGACAAGGAAAGGACAGCATTACGTCTTTCCCTTGGTGCTACAGTGTATGTAACGGGTGAGCAAGAGGATCAATTGTACGCGCGGCTCTGTTGGGAAATGAGCTTGTGGGTTACTGCATGCGGAGTCTGGGTGGAGGACTGCGTTACTCGACCGACAAGCGTGGCGTCGTTGCAGTTTTTGGCGGGATTTGGTCCATCAAGGGCTCGCAAACTGCACCAACTGCTAACGTTGCGTCGCCCGAATAGTCGTGAGGAGTGCGGCCAGCTCATTAAAGAGTATTTTGGTGCATATGTTTCCCATAATGCGATTTCATCTTTGCGTTTTGGACCCCCAAGTGATGCTTCTACTGAAAATGGAGGATCTTTTTCCCGGTGGCATCTTCTTGATCAGACGTTGATACCACGAGAGTGGTATGGCGCTGCGGCATTTGTTGCAAGTGCGGCGCTTAAAAATGTTCCTTCCAGACTTGTCGCACTTGTAGAATTTATGCGGCTGGAGGCGTCAGAAAAGCGTGATCGGATCGACCGTCATGCCCACCAGCGGAAGATGATTACTGCCATTCGCGAGGCCCGCCGCCCTGAGTGGGAATCGTTGTTGGGTGAAAGAGAGGTGGAGTTCCTGCAGGAAGAGATGATAACAGTGGGTCAGTCTTTCCTGCGACGGCCATATCGGCGGCTGTCGGACAGGGAACTTATGTCATTTGTGACGGGCATCGTGTACTGCACACAATCCAGCGCGTATTCCGATACTCGCTCGGTTGACACACGCTCCCTAGTCATTTGTGAGGGGGATTACGTGATGGGGACGGTGCAAGGCGTTCGTGGTGGTGGGACTGTCCCGGGTATTCGTGTTTCGACATCATTTGGGTTGGGCGCCTTTATCGCTGCAGAAGATATTGACGATGAGACAATGAGGCAGGATGTGCTCCTGTATGAACAATCCGTGCGTGAGAATGCTGGCATGCCGCAACCTCCATCAAAATTGACACCTCCAACTTGGTTGCGTCGTGGTGTGCCCATTCAGGGCATTGTCTTTGGTTGCAATTGGGAGCGCTGTGAGTTGCGCCTGCGGTGGTGTCGACCACGTGACACCATTTCTAATGGGAATCGCAGTAATGCGGAACAAGGCGGCAAGGACGATGTGGACAGCGATAACCACTACTTGTCCTATGCCAAATGTGTTAACGATGCGATGAGCAGTGCGAATTCTCTCCGTACGGTGCGGATGAATATTGACGCCCGTGTCTTTGCAACGAAGATATCGCGCCATCCGCTGTTTCGCGACACCACCAGCGCCACAGCACAAACATATCTTCACGACAAACGGATTGGGGAGGTGATTCTTCGTCCGGCGACTGGAAGGCGCAACAAGGCCATTGCGGTGGTGAAGATTGGTGAGCGGTCAACGTGCAACTGGCTTATCAGTGAGGAACGACGTTCCAACGGTTCCATTTACTACCGCCTGAAGGACAAATTGACGGGACGCGAGGTGGAGTTTGGTGATGTAGATGAGTTTCTGAATAATTTCATCGCTCCGATGGTTGCTCTTGTGCGGAGCATCCGCAGCCACCGACGGTTTGTTGAAAGCGCACGCGATGTACAAGATGCGCTGGATGCTCAGCGTCAGAGTGGTCTTGGCTTTACATATGTCTTTGCTGAGGTTAGCCAACAATCCAGACCTCCATTTTATCGCGTTTTTACGCGCGGCGGTGTGACGGAGCGGAACTTTTACCTTCACATTGATGAAAGCAGCATTTATGTGCGTGTTCCCATACGGCGCAGCGGCGGACGGGGCGGTATTGACCTCAGATGGGTGAGGTGCCGCAACGCGGAGCACGTCAGCGAGGTCGTGAAGGGCTTGGCGCGGCCCTCCTAAATGTGGATGTGTGTGCATGCACAGCGTTCGCACGAACTAGTGCGTTCTGTTTTTTTTTTTTTTGCGTGCATGAGAGGGGCGAGTTTGAGGTGGATGAGGGGTGGTGGCGACGTGAGTAACGCTCGTCGTCGTGCAGCCGAAAGTGATGGACGGCCCCTATTTTTTTTTTTTTTCTTTGTTTCTCCATCTCTTTCTATGTGCGCATCTGTGTGTGTTTGTTTGTTTTTTTGGTTTCCTCTCCCTCCACATGAAGGGAGTGTATGAAGCTTCCGCAGGAGGAGAGGCGAAAGATTACTTACTTGATGGCAGGAAGAGGAAAATAAAATAAAAGGAGGACCCATGCCCAACAAAACGAACGCAACATGGAGGAAAACAGGAAATCGAAATCTAAGAGAGGTGGAGGGACGGAAAACCTATTAAAGGACTACAAGGAAGAAGGGTGAAGTTCTTTAATCGTATGCGCCCGATACAAACGCACACACCGATGTGATTGCAAATGTTTGGTGGTCAGTGGCGGTGTGTTGGCGTACTGACGAGATGACGCTGCCGTGTTGGGGGTGCCAAGGCTGGCTGTTCTCTTTTTTTTTTTTTTTTTCCCTCTTTTGTTTTGTTTCTTTCAGGATAGAAAGAGAAAGTGGGGCTCGTGCAGCGTAGGCGGAACAATAAAAAGAGAGCTGGGAGTGGGCTGCGCCTTCCAAGAGCAGCCGACGAAGGGAAAGGGCCGAAGACACACACAAACAAACAAACACACACAAAAAAAGGTGTTGTTGTCTGGGGGGAGGGGGGAAGAAACAAAATTGCAAAAAAAAAAAAAAAGAACAGTTTGGGGTTCCGGAGCGAGTGTGGGTATAAATTACGGCGTGTAGTTGGGAGAGAAGCGGGAGCAGCAACGGAAGAGCGTGATATCATTTTTGTGTTGCTGCTTTACCTTGGCGTAGTTGATGGGTCGAAGGCGGGCGCAGCAAATCATGGCGCGTCTGGCGCGGCAGTTCCCTGACCAACACAAGTTATTGATGCGTGAAGTGGAGCGAATTGAACGTGAAGTGCGGCGAGGCGGCGACGCCACGTGGTTACCAGATCGTTGCCGGGCGCTTTTGCAAGAGGTCAATTCTCACCGACTGTTGTTGCCGTTTCTGGCGCAGGGATGTCCTTCTTACTTGTCTACACTGTTGTCGCGAGCAGGAGGCTGCTGCGGCTACGAAGATGCAGATGGGGCTGTGTTGCAGCTTGCGTCGGCCATGGCGGTGTCCGGCGCCCGTGCCGACACGCTAATGGACGGCATCAGCAAGAATTTTGCATCGTGTGTGGCGCTCGTTTTTGTTGACAACACGGCAGTGGCGAGGTTGGCGTTGTCGCTGTTTGGTTGGGCAGTGCAGTTGGCGTCCGATGGCGAGAGAATGGCGTCGCGGTTGCTTTGCGACGATGAGTTCTGGAGGCGACTGGATAGTCTTTGGTTCAGCGATGGAATGTGTATGTCATCTAGCCTTCTTACGGCGTTTCTTGGATTGGTGCGTGCGTCCTGTAGTGTGACGAGCACGGCGCGTGGTGCCGTTGTCTCGCGTCTGAAACGCCTTTGTGCCCTCGCGAGTGTGCGGGACGACGTATGTGTGAAGGATGAGGTTCTGCAGCTACTTATTGTTTTGCGTCTTACGCAGACGGAACTCGACAGAGGTGTGGATGAATGTCTTGCCATGCTCACCAACTTGCCCACGGTAGACGCGAGCCAAGAGGGGAACGTGACGGAAACTTTCAGTGCGGCGTTGGCGACTGGCGGGGATGAAGTTCCTGTTGCTGCTCTTAGTGCGGCACTCGACTCTTTGCAGAGGGATCAATTTGACAGCGCGGCCCGTGTGAAGGATCTTGACGCTATCGCCCGCCTTCTTTTCCATTCACACGCCCCATCGGGCATGGCAGCTGCGCTGCTGGTGTTGTTACCAGGTGCCCTGAAGGCTGTGTTTGCGGCAGCCAGTGGTGTGGACGAGAACGTCAGCGCCTGCGCCTGCACAATTCTTGCCTGTGCGATTGGGGGGCAGGAGTGGGCGGCGCCAAATTCAGGGAAACAAACAAAACGACAAGCGCGTAACCATTACAAGGGGTTTGACGTCTTTTACTACAAGAACTGTTTGGTGGAACACTTTTTTCTGCTTGGTGGCGTTGTGCTTTTGGAGGATTTACTTACAGACTACAGCAACAGTGTCGTTGTGGGGGCACTCCAATTACTTCAATCGCTTATTCGATTCTCGGATGAGGGGCGAGATGTTATATTGGCATCAAAATGCATCGACATATTGTGCGAGGTCATGCAAGATATGAGCCAAGATTCGAACATTTCGCTCTTGGTCAACGATACGGAAGGGGAATCGGCATTGTTACTTGTACTCAAGACAATCACCTTTTTAGGCGGCGATGCAATGCGACTGCTGCCGGAAAGTACACTTGGATGCATCGGCACAATTGCCACAGAGGCACGAACAAATGCGAAGGTTTTGGAAGCTGCTGTTTCCGCCTTGACACTACTTGCAGAGGCATACCCCCTGGCGGCCACCCTCGTATTGGACTATGAGTACATGAACACCGTCCTTTCGCTCGGTGAGAATTCTAGCCTAAGCGAGCTGGATGCCGTCTATCTCATTGGCTCCCTTAACATCATGGCGGTCATTGTTGCTAGAATACCATCAAGTGTCACGTTTGAATGGATTGAAATCATAGTCTTGGCCTCACGGCGACTGCAGGCGTGGGAGGAGAGCGTTCCAGGCTACGCACGTGCATTCTGGAACACTCTCTTAGAGACTGTCACGGCTTCCGAGGATGGTGGCGCGTATTTATTTGAGGATGAGGAATTTATCAGACTGCTGTGTGCTTCCTTGACGCGATGCTGTCAGATATATTTGTTGAAGAAAGAAGAGTGTCATGTCAACGACGAAGTGAAGGCCGATACGGGTGACACAAAAAAGAACGACGAGGCTCTAAAATTGCTTCCGTTGCTGGTACGTGTGACGAGACACGTGCCAAAAACAGAACCACGACGTTTGCCGCTAAAGGAGTGCGATCTTCTTGAGGCAATTGCGTTTCTCATTGCTGCATCTCAAGATGCCGCTTCACCTGATCTTCTTCTTGAATTAGGGCTGGTGCTCATGACAGATGATGAATTGTGCAGCAGTGTACTTGACGTGATTGCTCAGGCCGGACCATCTGTCGTCCCCGTGTTGCTAAGACGTATGCAGTTATTTTTTGCCAGCACATCAGAGTCTGCACCAGGAACGGAAAGCGTGAATAGCTGGGAAGACTTCAGTGCAGCTCTGGTTGTGTTGAGCGGCATCCTGGAGCGCAGCGAGGCAAGCCACACCCGTGCAACCCTTGAGGCGGTGGCAGGCCTTCTCACGGCAGCACTTCGGTTTCTCGATAAATTTCCACTGCCTTTTTCATTGTATGCAGGCCTTCTGAGCTTACTATACAACATGCTGCATCTAGAGGATGCTGTTGTGAAGGAGGTTGCGTGCCAATTGTGGATCAAGGAACGCCTTGTGGAATTGTTGTCACCTCTTCTTTGTCTGTTACGGGGAAATGGGGAGGAACGAAAATTATGCGGTCTGGTCTACGATGTGGTGCATCGGCTATACGATGCACAGACCGTGTCATCATTGCCTTTCATTTTGCAAGACAAGTCTTTTCTTTTATTTGCGACGAAGCACGTCCTCCGTGATTGTGAACATCCATCCTGCCGTTTGCTTTTAATGAGGCTCAGTACGGCGGCAGATTTCCGTCGTTACATGTCCGAGACACACGGAGAGTTGTATCGTGCAGCCCTAAAAGATGTCTCCGCGGATGATGGAGGTGAAAATAGGAAAGTGCTTTACGCCTCTCTTTTGCAGTGCTCTGATGCGAGAGCAGAAGAGGAGAATATGAAGACGTTGGAGGACTGCAGTGGGGTTGCCTGGGATCGCCGCTAATGCGTGGCTTTGTTGAACAATGTCTCTAAACCCGGCTGGGACATTGTGAATGAGGGGTGGAGAAGACGCTTTTGACTGGACCTTTGGTCTGGTCACGCCCATGCCCACTGCCTGTTTTTCTTTTTCTTGTTTTTTTTTTTTTGTATGCATGCTCTCAGGTTGGGTGTGAGGCTGTCGTGAGCGTCAAAGCAATGGCGGCATCTTCCCGCGGACACAGTAGCTGTTTTCCTGTCATGAGTTTTCTACACGTGCCGGGAAAAATGTCGCAGCCTCTTTGGCTTATGATGGGAACTGCCTGCCTGCTGCAAACGGCGCACGACACCGCGGCTCTTGGAAGGCTGTTCCTCCTCTCCGCGAAGCACACGTTTGCACCATGGCACTTCATCGCAGATCCAGCTCGGCTGAAAATCCCGGAGGCGTATCGTAAGACACGGTTTGTGGTCGTGCATTTGTATTTACCGGATAGCGAGGGACGCGCGATCGCCACCAGCTTCGTAGAATTGCGTCTGGTGGCACTTCACCCCTCAGCTGATGTTGCGCTTCTGGCCCTAAAGCCACCTGCCGCTTCACCCTCGGGAAAAATTGAGCCCGATGCACATGTGGAGGAGTTTCGACGGTTGGCGGAGACCGCAGGCGGTGGCCTCACGCTATCCGCTGTGGACCCTGCAGTGGGTGACTCGTGTCTCGTTTCCGGCTACCGTGGCGTGGGCTCTCTGGGACTGCTGGACACGGCGGACCCTGACTTGCTGCAACGTCTATCTGCGGCGCAGCGAGAGGAATTGTTGGCGAAACTGAAGTGCGTGGAGGGGCAGCAGACGGCGACCACGGCTAAAGTGGAGGTGCTGCATACTAGCGGGATGTGCCGCGCGACTGAGGGTCGTTGCTACCACGGCATGTCAGGGGCACCAGTGCTCGTGAATGAACACACATGCGGCGGTATTCTCTACGGCAAACACACAGAGCAGACAGAGTACTTGGGGTACACACCTGCACGTAGCTTTGACGAGTGGGTGTGGCGTGCTGTGGGAGCGGGTTAGCTCGCCTTTGTCATTATCTCTCAGTCCGCTTTTATCTTTTTTGAAGGGGAGAGGAGTGGGAAGTGGGCGTCTGTGATTCATTAGAAGAGACCCATCTGCTTTGTGTCACCTGCTCCCTCCCGACTCTCTTTTTATTTTTTGAAGTGGCGTGCAGAAGAAGGTGCCGCTATCGCACTTTGTGGCTTTCATCTCACTTTTTTTTACCCTTCACTTTCTCATTTGTTATTTCCCCTTCTTTTTTTTTTTTTTTTTTTCTTTTGTTGGGGATGTTGCTGGGGTGTTTCTAGTGTTGCTAGGAAGTAGAAAACACACACGAAGAAAAGAAAAAAAGGAGGGCAAATGTTGGATGAGAGGCCCACGAAAACACTCCGGACGGAGTCTGGCGCAAAGAAAGTCAGCAGCAAAGAGTTTTTGAAGACAACTGTGTCGGAGGGTCCTTTCAGCGTACTTGACAGCGCAATGCGAAACGGGACCCGTGTTTTTATTCAATCGCGCTTTAATAAATCCCTTGTCGCCACTGTTGTCGCATTCGACAAGCATTTCAACCTCGTTCTCCGCGATGTGGTTGAGCTGGCAATGGTCAATAAACAGCAGAAGGAGCGATCCATACGCAACATGTTCCTGCGCGGGGGGTCGGTGGTGTTTATTGTGAAACTGCCTCACAACGCGGCGTAGAGGCATGTGTGTGGGTTCCACACAGACAGCCCCGAGCAATCGCACGGATGCCACTGCATTCTGTAAAGAAAAAGGAAAAAGATTGGAGGGTGGGGAAAGGCACACGCATTTCTTTACCGGCTTTCCCTCCCTCTCCTTCCCCTTTGATAGGATTTTGTTATGATATTCGTATTTGCCTTTTTTTTTTGTCTGCTTATTTTTTCCTTTTGATTGACGTGTTTTCTTTTTTTTTTTCTTTGTTTGTCTCTGTTATATATATATATATATATGTTTTATCTCCTCCTGTGTGTTTGTCGTTTGGTGGGCAGTGATAGACCCATTCAAGTAGCCACAGTTCAATGCGCATCTTTTTCCACGTTGTGGCGTTGGCGCTGATGCCCGTATGAAATGGGCACTGCCACCGATGCCCGGGATTGTGCCTACACTTCCGATGGCCACAAGGACGAAGGTGTGAGGGACATGACGTTTGTGGGACGCCTTCAATTCAGTCGAGACGCGGTTCTCTCTCTTAAAGAGAGAAAAAAAATTATATATATATATATATATCTATACGTACTTAAATGCGGGATAACGAGGAGCCGCGAACACGTAGGGGGAGATGTGGCGGAGGAATTTCATATTTTTGGATTGCTGCGTCTTTCATGGTGAATGCCGTCCTGTCTTTGATTTCACCTTTTATTTTTATTTTTATTTTTTATTTTTGTTGGACGTTTTTTTTTTTTCTTTTTCTCTCTCTCTCATTCTGCTTTATTTTAACGCCCCAAGAAAAAGTTGTTTGGCTTTTACGCCGTGGCAACTCACTTTTTTCATCCCATGATTTTCGTGTGCCCAACGTGTGGCAGTGCAATCACAGGCGCCTGGCGCCACGATTGCGAGACGCAGACGTTCACCTGCCACGGAGAGTTGTGGAAGCGCCGCTCCAAACTAAATAATGGATTGCCGCAGAGTTATCAGCAGCAGAAGCAGCAGCAGTGCGTTATGCCAATTCTCGTCATGCCGCCTCAGACACCCCGCGACAGTTCCTACGCGGGGCGATTTGTCGCCGCACAGGGGTTACCAGCTCGTTCTAGACTTATGGGCGACGACAAGGGCTTTTATTTACCCCCGCCGCTGTCACATATGTTTCCAACAATACAGAAGCAACCGACACACAACCCCAATGAAAAGCCACCGGGAAACAATGAGGAGAGTCCGGCAGCGCAGAAAGAACCGTTGACTTTTATTAAACTGCCTCAAACCCGTGAATTTTTACCTACTTCGAACATGGAAACCACCAAAGAAGGAAATACCGGGAATATAAGAACAATCCACCGCATCCAGTTTGAAGGTGATGACTGGGATGCTGTGTTGCCATGCCGCAAGAATGAACTCTACATGGCTTTGAAACTGGACATATGCAACTCACTGCCCTTCCCGTCATCGTTTAGCGTTAAAATCATGCGCACGGGGGGCGGTTTTTTTGCCTATATCACCATAACACGCCCAGCTGAGGTTAGCGACGACGAAGTATGTCGGCACCTCACTGAATATCACTTTCCAGAAACTCGACGGTTATACCAATCTGCGCAACTGCAACCTAGTGCACAAGTTCTTACTCAGAATTCCAGCGAATACATTCATTGCCCTAATACACCATCTGTTTTTACTCTTCCAGAAGGTTTGAGGCATGGGCCATGGGGCGGCAAAGCCATCAGGATTAATGGAGAACCCTATCAATGCTCACGAGAATCACAAACCTCTGTTAAAAATACGATTGCAACATTAAAAGTGGATGATTCATACCTTCTCGATCCATCACCGTTACAAAAAAATGAACCCATCATTGATAATAAAAGTAATAAGCGATCCACTGAAGTGGAAAAAGAAGACTTGGCAGGAATAGCAAACACCAGTCAAAAAACATCATGCAATTCAGAAAAAGGAGCGGAGAGTTGTCAAAATGATTTAGCAAAGTTGATACCAGCCGAAAAACATTATTATTCAAGCATTAACAACCTCTCGGCAGGAGAAAAAACAAACAACGCTTCAGTTCTAATGTACTCAGAAATTGAGGGGGGCCGCAGCATGGAGTCGTTGCCTCAGAGTGTTACTGTGGTTCCTCGTAGTGAACGTCCCATGAGCAGGAAGTCGTTTGATGTCTCATTGGTGCACGAGAACGAGATGGAGGGAGGCCGCAGCATGGAGTCGTTGCCTCAGAGTGTTACTGTGGTTCCTCGTGGTGAACGTCCCATGAGCAGGAAGTCGTTTGATGTCTCATTGGTGCACGAGAACGAGATGGAGGGAGGCCGCAGCATGGAGTCGTTGCCCCAGAGTGTTACTGCGGTTCCTCGTAGTGAACGTCCCATGAGCAGGAAGTCGTTTGATGTCTCATTGGTGCACGAGAACGAGATGGAGGGAGGCCGCAGCATGGAGTCGTTGCCTCAGAGTGTTACTGTGGTTCCTCGTGGTGAACGTCCCATGAGCAGGAAGTCGTTTGATGTCTCATTGGTGCACGAGAACGAGATGGAGGGAGGCCGCAGCATGGAGTCGTTGCCTCAGAGTGTTACTGTGGTTCCTCGTGGTGAACGTCCCATGAGCAGGAAGTCGTTTGATGTCTCATTGGTGCACGAGAACGAGATGGAGGGAGGCCGCAGCATGGAGTCGTTGCCCCAGAGTGTTACTGCGGTTCCTCGTAGTGAACGCCCCATGAGCAGGAAGTCGTTTGATGTCTCATTGGTGCACGAGAACGAGATGGAGGGAGGCCGCAGCATGGAGTCGTTGCCCCAGAGTGTTACTGTGGTTCCTCGTGGTGAACGTCCCATGAGCAGGAAGTCGTTTGATGTCTCATTGGTGCACGAGAACGAGATGGAGGGAGGCCGCAGCATGGAGTCGTTGCCTCAGAGTGTTACTGTGGTTCCTCGTAGTGAACGTCCCATGAGCAGGAAGTCGTTTGATGTCTCATTGGCGCACGAGAACGAGATGGATGATTGGTGTTTGCCTCCGCGTGGGCAGAAGTGGCGTAGTTTATTAGATAAGGATGTTTTTCTGCGAATGGTTGAGATGGATGGGTGGTGTTTGCCTCCTCGTCGATTGTTAGTCTTGGAAGACCGTGATTTTAGTCATGTTTGTTTGTCCGAGGAGGTTTGTGTGTGTGATAATGGTTTATCTAGCTTTAGTAAGCCTCCTGTGATGCCTTGTGGTGATTCAATGGTGCCATGTGCGGTGTCTGTTGGCAAGTCGGGGGTTTTTGAGCCTTCGATGACGATGGACCGGATTTCTTCTTTTGAGGGTGGAGGGGATGCAACTTCTCCTGTTTTTCATGGTATGCATTGTGAGGCGGCGACTTCTCCGTTGTTTTCTGGTGCTTGTAACCCTGAGGAGCGGTGGTTAGATGTACTGCCAGCGAGATCGATCGACAAAAACCCTTGGAAGTTTTCACAAGATACGGCGCGAGGCAGGTCGATTGTGTCTGCGCAGAAAATTCTTCCGGTAGCGGAGGCCGTTGGTTTGCTGAAGGGATCGTCAAATGTGTTGATGGAAGAATCGGAGGAGGCGCTGATGCTAAGTGTAGAGGAGGCGGATGGACATTTACTGTCGGATGGTGACGTGTCATCGAGACATTTGGAGCTTACGGAAACAAAGGATTTGGCGCTTGCACAAGGGGGCAATGGGCCTCTTGGAGCATTGAAGGATCAACATGTGACAGTGGAGGGGAATAAATTGGAGAGACGGATTCTGCCCACCGGGGCTGAGAACTATGAAGTGGCGCCATTAAAAAAGAATGTTGTTCCGTGGGATACGCAGGAGAGCTCTTGTGCCTTCGAGGTGTATGAACTGAGTGCTTCCAACTCTTCGGAGTCTTCATGTGTTGAAATTTGGTTGGAAAGAGAGAGTCCGAGGGCGTTTTCGAGGTTGTTGCAACATCTTGAAGAGGCAGAGAGAGTGATTCGTAAACCAGTAGAATTGCTACGAAGGTTGAGGGATAATGAGGATGGTGGCTATTGTTATCAGGCTTAGGAGTAGACGTTAGCTTTTCTTTTGCTGAGAGGCAATTTTTTTTTTTTGCTTGCTTTTTTTTTTTTTTTTTTTTTTTTTGTGTGTGTGTGTGTGTGTTTGTCTTGGAGCATATTCTGGACCGGTGGAATTAAAGCAAACAAAATTTTTTTTTTGGTGCATTATTTTGCGTATGTGTGGCAACTGGAAGAAAATTTTAGTTTATTATTATTATTGTCTTGCATTGGCGCTATTAGGAGTTGCTGGAGGCGCTGAGGAAATATATATATATATATATATATATATATATATATTTTTTTTTTTTTCTTTTTTTTTTCTTTTCTTTAGTTTATACGTACTGATTTTCCTTTTTTTTTTTTTTTTTTATTTGTGCGTGCGGAGGAGGAGACGATTGTGAGGGGCGGAAGAGGACTCTTCTTGACACAAATGCACAAAAACAGCGATGATGTATACACGCGTAGTCTTTTTTTTTTTTTTTCTTTTGGTTAAATTTTGTCCGCTTTTTTTTTTTTTTTTTGATTTTTTATTCGTGTGGCAGGGAGTCATTGAGATGTGGTTTTGGTACCGCGTCACCTCCTGCCCCGTTGTGTATAATTTTTGCTTCTTGCCCGCAATGCTTCCTTCATTACGTTTTTTTTTTTTTTTTTTTTACAGTTTCACTTTGTACCTTTTTTCCCCTGCACTTCAGTTGTGTGGGGAGCAAAAATTTATTTTATTTATCATATATTGCGCGTATGTGGAGACCCACACGATGGCTAAGTTTGCGTCTCACACCGGATCCTTCGTTAGTTGTCCTTCCAGCTGGCGTGAGGCGCGTTGAAGTGTACCGCAACGCAGTGAGCAGCCGGGAGGAGAGTATTATCTGGGACGAGCTCAGCCTTGTGCTTGAGCGGGAGGGGCAGAAGGCGCTGTCGGAGCGCTCGACCCCACAGAGCAAGATCGTGAAACATACATATCTTGAGATGCACGGGGATCAACGGTTTACGGAAGTAAGGAGCTGGCAAAGAAAGGAATTGCGGCGGCTTCCGGGGCTTGTTTGGTCGCCAACCCTAATGGCGTGCATGCGGGATGTTGCTCCGGCTCTGCTGGGCTCCGTGCCGGACACCGCGCGAGTGGTTGAGCACAATATGCCTGGTTATGAGATGCACATTGAACATCCCACAGTGGGTTGCTGCTTCCTTTACCTCTCCCTTTTGTCGGACACAGTGCTGTCGTTTGATGATGAACCGACGGGGCGCCGTGGGCAGGTCTTTTTGCCACAGCGATCATTGATGCGCTGCTCCGGTGAGGCCAGGTGGGGGTGGCGATTTGGCGAACAACCCAACGACACGCACACATTTATTAGCGACGCTGGTGTTCGGCGTGTGGTGGAGACAGACATGCGACTTAGCGTGCAGTTGTGGAGGTTCACGCCACAGTTGCTGGATGCGAGGGTTCTTCAGGACCGTGTGGAGGCTTCAATCCGTCGCCTTGAAGAGAGAGAGAACAACCGACCTGACGTGGAGCATACGGAGGAGCCGTGTGAGTCTCCCAAAAGTGATTTTACTGCGGCATCTGTTGGGCAAAACACGGGTGGGGGCCCTCTTGGCGGGGATTACGCGGCAAACACGTCTCCCGATCCAGGAGGCGGCACGAAGATTACAATGGGTACGATTGAAAAAGACTACGACAAGTACAAACAGAAATTTCAGAATGTTCATGGAGTATTACAAGAGATGAAGGCGTTGCAGGACGCTGGGCAGCCCATCAATGACATGTGGTTGAAACGAAAGATTTTGGATGGCCAGGGAAACGCCGAGCAGGACACAAGCGATGGCTTTGACGCGGAGGATGTGGAAGGTACATGGGATCGAGTAGATGCACGAGCACGCTTTTACAAGGCACGGCTGAAGAGCATGGACTACGACGGTAGTGGAAGCCTTAACAATACGATGCCAGACATAACGGAGGATGCACCGCTTGATATGAAGAAAACGATACGAAAGATTGCACCGCTCGTGAAGGATGGAGAAAAGATTGTCGCAAGTTTTCCTGGTTTACAGTGAGTAGTGAGTAAGAGATTGAGAAGGACAGGGACAAGGAATGAAGGAAGGAAAGAAGAAAGATAAGAGGAGTATCGTGCTATATATATATAGCCTTAATTTGGCGTTTGCCGTTGGCAAGATTGGGTGTGTGATGTAAAGACTCTGTTCTGCGCCGTACTTTTATTTATTTATTTATTTATTTTTAGGCCGTGTTTTTTGTGGATGAGAAGGCGGAGTGACCGGCGGGGGTTTGGCGCTGTGGCGACTTTTGTCCCCCTTCTGTTGTTTGTGGTGGTGACTCTATCGGTGTGCCAGGATGCCCTGCGGAGTGTGAAGCATTCATTCAGTGAGGTGAATTTTGAGGGGGAGCGGCAGCTGCGGCAGGAGACGAGGAAGGAAGAGCGGTCTCCGTTAGGGGCCGCTTTTACTTCAAAGGCCCAGAGCATATTAAATGGTAGTCGTCTGGTAGGAGACGGGTTGGACGTGCATATGTTTGTTCTCTGGCAGCATGCGTACCCCCAGTGGCGGGCGATCTTACAAGACATTTGTAAGAGTTTTGTCGTACTTGAGCTGGCGGAGTTTGACTGGGGCGATACACGGATGGGGCTTCAGAGGTTTTTGTCTAACCTCTGGGTACTGTATAATGGCAAAGGCGGCTGGGAGAGGGAGGGAATGGCGAAGAAGGTACAACAGTGCGGTTATGGAAGATTTATTGCTATTGCTGTTGCGGATATGAATCCTCAGTACGCGAGGAAACACACGGCTCATGGCGTTGATATTGTCAATGTGATGGCGCATAAAAAGAAAGTGCTCTACAGAAAGTGGTCGGGAGGCGGATTTAAGGTGCATGGGACATTTTCCACACATGAGGCCAACCATGACATTCGTGTCCTGCTCCACACCACCATTGAGGGCCTTCTATTGCGCGCGATGGAGACCCAGGCCTACGCCAGAGACATCGTGTCGGCGTACTTGGACGATCCTGCTCCATTCTATACGACGCGGGAGGCGTATGGGGCTACAAACCTGGAGAATAAGGGTAGCAATGGTAAAGCGGATGACAACGCTGTACGCTACCACCAGCAAGGCTGGCGCTGTGATGCATTTTTTTTTGCATTGGGGTCTTTGATGCAAGTGGCGGTAGTGGACGGAAGAACAGGAGTTCTGCTTTGGTCGCAACGCAGCTCCCTTCCTGGGACGCCGTTAGCGGTATATGTAGTGACAAAAACTGAGTGTGCCGCGTGGCCCGATAAGTTAGAGCTTCGCATTTCCTTGTCGGAAATGTGGGGCGCTGTGGCGCTTCTGCGTGCGTCACCGGTCAATGCAGTGGGGGTGACGTTGAGCAGTGAGTTCACAGTCGAACTGGAAGGATCTACTCGAGTGTTACTTCTAACGCCCTTTAAATGATTTTGCTGTCTCCCTTCTGGGAATTGTGGCGCCTTCCTGAATTTGTACGTGTATGTGTATTTAAGTTGTTGCCGGAACCGCTTTTATTGTTATTATTAATTTTGCCGCTGGTGGTAATTATGGTCGTGGGACGCAATAGCTTTGGTGGTGGCGCTTTTTTTCAGGTACATGTATGTTTTTTCTGCCGATATTTTTTTTTCTTTTTTTTTTTTTTTGGCAGTTATACTCGAAATAAGTTGCCACTTTTTTGCAGGATGAGCTGGTGCACGGCGGGGGAGGTGGTGGAATTGATTAGTGTCAGCAGGCTGCGTCATGACGTTGCAGAGGTTGAACGTAAAGCGGCAGATTTGCGTCTAATTGAACTTTACACATCGGCAGTGAATATTGGGGACGTTTTGACGGAAGTAGTAGTTGCGTCCGATGCAGTTTCTTGGAATTTGCGGCTGGCGGCTGCCTTGACGCTGGAGTCTTTTGTGAGCGAGCGGACATGGTGCGAGGGCGTGAGCTTCAGCGACAAGGAACGTGTTCTTAATGAGCTTTTGGCGTATTTGCGGAACGCCCCTTTTGCTGCGTCAGCTGCGGAGGAGCAACTGCATGTCTTGCTGTGCTCCTGCCTCGGCCGTATTGCCGGTCTTGAATATCCCGCTGCGCGTTGGGATGAATTCATGGACGAGTGCGTTTCAGCCATTGTGTCAGGGGATGCGGCACGGCAGCAGACGGGGCGTGTGTTGGTGCAACAGACAATTATCTTGCGGTTGGCGGAGGTGTGTGATGCCAATGCCAAATTGTGGGGACGTGTAGCGTCTGTCGTGGTCCGCCGTCTGTTGGAATGGGCTACAGGCCCTGCAGGAGGAAGAGAGTCACGAGCATTGTGTTTGCGTGTTGCTCTGTGCTTACTGCGACGTCGTCCCCGGCCGAGTGAAACAACGGAGGCGGAGCGTCCGACGTGTTCTTTTATCTTTTCGGATGAATTTCGGTGCGTCGTCGGCCGCAGTCTGGAGGAGGGATTGGCGTCTTTTGAGGCCGGGGGTTCCCACACGATTCTTCTGAAGGACTGCGGCCTGCTCTTGGATGTCGCCTATCATTTACTCAGCGACGAAGCGTTTGCACATCTTGTGTTTCGTTGCAGCATTCGTCTTCTTTCGACTTGCGAGGCGGCATACTTATCGGATTTAGAGGAGAACTCTTCGGTTGACTTGTGCGTTGATAGTGCGCTTGAGTGCCTGGTTGGTGTGCTGCAGATGTACCCGGAGGCGTCGCTTCTATGCGACAGCGAAACGTTCTTGTTGACACTTTTTAGTTACATGACGCGCGCAGTTGAACTGGAGCACGGCGATGAGTCCGCACTTTTGGACGCATTGCAGGAGGATTGTTTTGTGCCGTTGGGATGCGCTGGTGGTGACACAGCCGCAAACGCTGGTGCCGTGCTGGAGCTTCTGATGGAGGCGAACCCGCACTTGTTGGGTATCGCGGTGGGATCTCTTTGCGTCACGGTTACTGAACTTCAACAGGGGCCTTCCTCGGCGCACTGGCGGGCATGGACAACTGCCCTTCGTTGCTTCTGTCGTGTGT